TCTTAAAAAAAAAAAAAAAAAAAAAAAAAAAAAATCCAGAAGAATTCTCCGGATTACCAGGCAGAGACTTTTGTTCTCTTCCCTTACTTTCTCCCAAACAAATGAGTCTCTATTTCTCTGTGCTGAGCTGCTTGCAGCTGGGGGTGGGATCACACAAGCACCCTTGTGGCTACAATCACTGGGACTGCATTGGTCAGAACTGAAGGCAGCACAGCACTGGATATTGCCCAAGGCCCACTGTGATTACTATCGAACTACCACCTATTTTTGTTCAAGGCCTCAGGGCTCTACAATCAGCGGGTGGAAAAGCCAGCCAGGCTTGTATCATTCCCCTCAGGGTGACGAGTTCCCCCAGGCCCCAGGCAGGTCCACAGATGCCATCTGGGAGTTTGACTGTCTTATTTTTCTAGTTAGGGATAAGAATAGCATGCTATGTAATTCAACCTTCTCGAATGTTTTCACATTCTCTTTTACTCTATGTTTAAACAAAATGAAATCAGTATTATTATCCCCGTTTTACTGGCTAGGTAACTGATGCGTGAAGAAGTAACAGTTTTCCCAAGGTCACATAAAGACCCAACAAACTAGAACCCAAATCTCCAGACTCCTCATCCAACATTTAATTTGCCACATACTCCTGCTACTCTGGGGTGGTATATTTCATTTAGATTCCCTCCCAAAACAGGCACAGGGAAAAGAAAAGAGAGTGTTCCCAAACTATCCCTGCCAATTATCATCCCTGAATTTTGTTAATTAAGTACATAGCAAGCCAATGGGGAAAAATCACTGCACTTTCTCCCACAGAAGTGTCAGATTCTCCACTGACAACATGAAGCACATTTTCTAGACTAAAGAAGGAACAGGTATAGGGAATAATGCAGTTATGCTTCCTGACTGCCTAGGATGGTCCTGGTTTCATGTAATTTTATTCTTTTTATAAAAGGGGATTTAATAATTTCTAATTAACCGATGTACTGAGTTTTTTTCTTTCTTTTTTTTTTTTTTAGAGACAGGGTCTTGCTTTGTCCCCAAGGCTGGAGTGCAAATGGTGCCATCTTGGCTCACTGCAACCTCCATCTCCTTGCTCAAGTGATCTTCCCACCTCAGCCTCCCGAGTAGCTGAGACTACAGGCATATGCAACCACACCCAAATAATTTTTGTATTTTTGTAGAGACAGGGTTTTGCCATGTTGCCCAGGCTGGTCTTGAACTCCTGGGCTCAAGTGATCCACTTGTCTGGGCCTCCTGAAGTGCTGGGATTATAGGCATGAGCCACCACACCTGGCCCTGATTTTTCAAATAAAAGCATTCACAAATAAATAAAAAGCTTCTGTCAGATGATATATTCTGAGTTTTGGCTTGGAAAAGACCACAGTATCTTTAAGGACCGTTCTTCTTTAGGTGCAGGGGCTGGCCTTGGTAAAGTTGTGAAAGGTTGTCGTTGGTCTTGTTTTCAACCCTCTTAGCTGTACCTCTTCACCAGGTAAACATTTTTCCTACCTGGAATTTTCCCAGTGACTCACAGAGTCCATCTAATATTTCAGTGCTAAAGACCTTGCTTTTGGCTGGTTGCAACTAAAGAAGCATAATATATTATATCTCTTGAGAATGGCTAGAGGAGCATGGGGAGACTTTTTTAAGCTTCGAAAGCCATGAAGAGTCAAGCAATTGCAGGCACTAGAGGTAATGTTTTTACAATGGGCTGGAGGTGGAAGGGTGCATTCTGATACCTCTCCAATTTACTCTATGAAGGCAGCTACCCACTGGACAGGCCTTCCTTACAAAGATTTCCTCCAAGACACAGCAGCATTTTGATGGACTAAGAACTAAAGCAGGCATGTATTAGGAGGGTGGATAGCCTGTGTCAAAATTGTAGAATTGAGACAGACCAGGGTTTAAATCCCAGCTATATCTTTTACTTTACAACCTCAGGAAAAGTTCTAGTGTCCTCTGGGTCTCAGTTTTCTTATACATACAAAGTGAGGATAAAAATATCTACCAAGGACTGAAATAGCAGAGTGACTGGCATATGGTGAGTGCTAAGAGACAGTTATAATTCACATGGATTAATAAATTTGAGAGACCAAGATTAAGAGAATAAAAAGAGAAAACACTGGAGGATGGACGTAACTCAGAGTATTCTAATTGCCTATGTTGTTAAATCTCAAAACGTAAGATCTAATGCAAATGACTTGGAGAAAGAGTGTACCAGTGTTCATCCACTTGAAGTCTTCTGCTATGTGGCATATAGAGAGGGTGCCCACATGAGCTCATATGCTTGCAACAGCTTCCATCTGCCCAATTATATAAGGCCACACAGTTCTAGTTTATGCCTGTTGTCACAGTGTAATGATGAATAATGCCCTCTTTACGCCAAGTATCGAGATTTGAAAAATGACACATAGAGAATGTCTTTTTAGCCTTGGCATGATGGCTTATGCCTGTAATCGCAGCACTTTGGGAGGACAAGGCGGGCAGATCACTTGAGGTCAGGAGTTTGAGACCAGTCTGGCCAAGATGGTGAAACCTTGTCTACTAAAAATCCAGAAAGTTAGCTGAATGTGGTGGTGCATGCCTGTAGTCTCAGCTACTTGGAAGGCTGAGGCGGGAGAATAGCTTGAACCCAGGAAGCAGAGGTTGCAGTGTGCCGAGATCATGCCACTGCACCACAGTCTGGGCGACAGCAAGACTCTGTCTCAAAAGAAAAAAGAATGTCTTAGCCGGGTGCAGTGGCTCACTCCTTTAATCCCAGCACTTTGGGAGGCTGAGGTGGGCAGATCACAAGGTCAGGGGATTGGGACCAGCCTGACCAACATGATAAAACCCCGTCTCTACTTAAAAATACAAAAATTAGCTGGGTGTGGTGACGCCCACCTGTAATCCCAGCTACTTGGGAGGCTGAGGCAGGAGAATTGCTTGAACCCGGGAGGTAGAGGTTGCAGTGAGCCTAGAGCACGCCATTGCACTCCAGCCTGGGTGACAGATTGAGACTCTGTCTTAAAAAAAAAAAAAAAAAAGAAAGAAAAAAATGTCTTTTTATTTTAATGGGACGTTTTACTATTTACTAATAGCTGCTGGGTTTTTTTTTCTTACATCTTAAAATTCCAGCTGTCCAGATCCTTGACATCCCCAAAGCCAATAAATTCAATTATGAAAATACCTGTTTCCAAATGCTTTCCATCACATACTTTTGTAGGGACAACTCCAGTTCAGGATCAGGCTTCAATGTGCACGCAAGCCTCAGGATATCTAAGAAGGCAGAAGGAGGATGCAGGCTCAGAGAGGGAAGGTTGGCTCTGCAGTGCTAGTGAGAGGAGACTCCCAGTCCCTATTCCCTTGGGCAGTGGGCTGTCCTGTCCTTACAATTGTCAGGAGACACTGGGAGACCTAGGGGCTGAAAGGGCCAGGGGTAATCCAAAGAGGAGCTCTCAGAGGTTGCAGGTTTCCCAAAATTCAGTCACATGTAGCTCAAAACCCTGTTCAAACTGACATATGCTTTGGAACTTAGGGAGATTTTCACTTCTGAACTTGGTTTACAACTAGTACAACAGGAGATGGGAACGAACAAATGAGGGAATGACAAGAGAGGAGCATGGTGACAGAAGGAAGGGGATGTAGAGTTGAAAGAGCAGCAGGAATAATATTAAGAAGACTGGCTTCTGATCTCAGGCTTGATACCGCATCACTGTGTGACCCTTGAGAAGTCACTTTGCTGCCCTGGTTGCCTCCTATTTCCTCAGCTGGGAAAAAAGTAGTTGAGTTTCATGATCTCTATGGTTCCCTTTACTATAGAGGCTGATAGTTTAAGCTCTAGGTTAGACTGATAAGAGATGGTAGGAATGAGCTTGAGGAAATCAAAAAATAAGGGAGACAGAGAATGATAATGTGAAAAAAATGTGTGTGTGGCTTTTTATAGTTTGGCTGGTCCTAATTTGTATCCTTTCTAATAAAACCGTAACTGTAAGTGTAGCACTTTGCTGAGTTCTGTGAGTCATTTCAGTGAATTATTGAACCTGAGGGCATTTTAAAGGGATCTCCAAATTTGTAGGCAGTTGGTCAGAAGTTTCTGTGGTTTAAGGTTCCCAGAGCTTGCAGCTGGTGTCTGAAGTTTGTAGAGGATTCAACCGATGAAGTCCTGCACTAACTCCAGGTGGTTATAACATCAGAATTTTATTGCAGGCCAGGTATGGTGGCTCACGCTTGTAATCCCAGCACTTTGGGAGGCCAAGGCAGGCAGATCATGAGGTCAAGAGATTGAGACCATCCTGGCCAATGTGGTGAAACCCTATCTCTACTAAAAATTAGCTGGGCATGGTGTTGCATGCCTTAGTCCCAGCTACTCGGGAGGCTGAGGCAAGAGAATCGCTTGAACCCAGAAGGCGGAGGTTGCAGTGAGCCAAGATCCCACCACTATACTCCAGCTTGGCAACAGAGTGAGATTCTGTCTCAAAAGAAAAAAAAAAAAAAAAAAGAAAAGAAAAAGAAAAAAAGAATTGCATTGGAGTATTATGGTGCTCAAAATAAGGCCTAAAGAAACCCTTTAATAGAAGATGTCGTTAAGATCCAAGAGGTGGCACTGGTAAAGCTTAAGGAGTGGGTAATGTCATGAGGCTTTCGCCTTCATCTCTGGAACATCTGAGGTTCTTGGCCTTTTCTGATCAACGTTTGTACAGTCTCCCCACTCCCCACCCCACTACATATTGTGGCTTTGTAAAAGTACAATCTACTATTTATAACATCTAAAATATTCCAGACCTGTACATAAATGATGAGAAAAAATGATTCAAAATGTTTCCGGGCTAGGCGCGGTGTCTCATGCCTGTAATCCCAGTACTTTGGGAGGCTGAGGTGGGTAGATCATGAGGTCAGGAGTTCAAGATCAGCCTGGCCAAGATGGTAAAACCCTGTCTCTACTAAAAATATGAAAATTAGCTGGGTGTGGTGGCCTGTGCCTGTAATCCCAGCTACTCAGGAGGCTGAGACAGAGACTTGCTTAAACCCAGGAGGCAGAGGTTGCAGTGAGCCGAGATAGCACCACTGCACTGCAGCCTGGGTGACAGTGCGAGACTCCATCTCGAAAGAAAGAGAAAGAAAGAAAGAGAGAGAAAGAAAGAAAAAGAAAGAAAGAAAAAAGGAAAGAAAGACAAAATATTCCTGATGTTTCTCATTTGGATGGGGTTTTCAGGGAAGGATAAGTAGCTAAAGTTTGGATATGTTAATATTAGATGCCTGTTTGAATCCAGTGGAAATGGCCCATAGGCAGGGTATTTTGTTTGTTTGTTTTTTATGAATTCAGGACAAAAGACTGAAATGAATTCTGGCAGTTAGGTGTGGGACTTGGGTGATGTAAGCAACTTGCAGGACCTTGAGGGTGCATGTCTGCTTAAGATTTGTGACACAGGCTTCTCACTTGCCTCATCTTACTCATGTGGAAATTAAGCATGAGTGAATGGTTCACTAAGAAGTAAGTAGAGATCCCTGAAGTCACCAACATTTAAGGAATGAGAAGGAAACTAAGCAAAAAGGATTGAAAATAGGTGATTTGAGAGATAGAAGCAAAACTAGAAAAGAATACTCTTGAATCCAAGGAAAAAGGAGAAGGTAGTATCCAAGAAAAGAGCATAAGCTATGGTCAACCACCTAGGATGAGGCCTGAGAAGAGGTCACCTGGTTTGGCAAATTTTATGGTCCTTGGTGGCCTTGACATATACAGTCTTCAGTAGACAGCAGGGGACTGGGGTAGAAGCTAGATGTCAGGGGTACAAGATTGAAGAGCAGGTGAGCACAGATATCAATGTGCTTGCAATCAATATTTATTGGATGAATAAGTAAATAAGGGGATAGGAGAACAGGTATAAATGCATTTACAGATTACTTTGCTGAGAAGTTTGTTGGTGAAGGTTAGGAGGGGAAAGCAGCATGCAAAGAAGCTTTATTTTTTTTTTCGTTCATCTTAGGGAAGACTTATTAATGTTTGGTAGATGAAGGAAAGGAGTCAGTGCTTAGGGAGAAGTGAAAGTTGTGGGGAGTGTCATACTTAGAATTGCTGTCCCGGAGAATGGGAAGTAGGTCCCCTTTGTTTGCTGGTAAGGACCAGGAGCTGTGTTGAAGAGCCCACCCACTAGTGAAGCTGTGGGCATTGGTATAAGACCCTGCTGACCACTGGTAGAGTTGAAGGCTTCTTTCCATGGTGGGTACTTACTTTTGTGCTTACCAGAAGGATAATAATTCATGAAGGTCATACATTTCGTGAAAAATTCATCAAAGTTAAAATTAGGGGGTGGTTTTAAGAAGTTAACCTAAATAAAAGAAAATGAGAAGTTTCCAGTTGTTCCGAGAACTATTTAATCCTCAGTGTAACTTCTCAGCAGAAAGTCAGGGAGTACGCTTTTGACTATCTATAAAATGGTAAACAGTATTGGCATACTTAAACACCAAAAAAATCTTTGCTTTGTAAAATTGAAATTTTAAGTTGAAAATTTAAAGTCTTTCCAATTACGGTCTTCACTCAGATCTCAATGTTTGGTATATGTACAGAGAGGGTCATTCCAAGGGGGACTAATCTTATACTTTTCTGCCCTTAGAACTTCCTTTTTTTCCTTCATAATATTTTAATTCAAATAAAACCTGGTTTAACTGAACACCATTTCTTTTTTTTCTCCCCGAGACGAAGGCTTGCCTTGTCACTCAGGCTGATCTTGGCTCACTGCAACCTCCGCCTCCTGGGTTCAAACAATTCTCCTGCCTCAGCCTCCTGAGTAGCTGGAATTACAGGCACCTGCCACCATGGCCAGCTAATTTTTGTATTTTTAGTAGAGACGGGGTTTCACCATGTTGGCCACGCTGGTCTTGAACTCCTGAACTCATGATCTGCCCACTTCAGCCTCCCAAAGTGCTGGGATTACAGGTGTGATCCACCTCGCCCAGCCATACCATTTCTTTCTTATAAGTGTTAAAGGACAGGGGGCTGATGGCCTAAAAGGTATTAGGAGCATCACCAGTCATAAGACATCAAGATTATGAGCCACATATGATGATAATGATACACTGAGAATGGCATGACCTCATTTTTTGGCCTTCTTCCCCACCCCCACTAAAAAGCATACACTTAGTCCAATAAAGAGAACACATCAGGCCTGTAATCCCAGCACTTTGGGAGGCTGAGGCGGGCAGATTATTTGAGCTCAGGTGTTCAAGACCAGCCTGGGTAACAATGGTAAAATCCTGTCTCTACCAAAAATACACACACACACACACACACACACACACACACACAAATTAGCCAAGCATAGTGACACATGTTTGTGGTCCTAGTTACTCAGGAGGCTGTGGTGGGAGAATCACTCGAGCCTGAGAGTTAGAGGTTGCAGTGAGCTGAGATCATGCCACTGCACTCCACCCTGGGTGACAGAGTGAGACTCCATCTCAAAAAAAAAAAGAAAAGAGAGAGAGAAAAAAACAGGCAAAACTAAATGGAGAGACGTGTGACAAAATAACTGTCAACTCTAAAGTTTCAAGGTCATAAAAGACAAGGAAACACTGAAGTGCTGTTATAGACTGCAGGAGCCTAAGCAAAAATAACAACAAAATGCAATGTGAGATCATGCAACACAATCCTGCAACTTTCCACCAAGGACTGCAGTGGGAAAACTGGTGACATTCAAATAAGGTCTTTTTTGTTTTGTTTTAAGGAATAGAGAGTTTATTTGGCAAGAAAGAAGGAAGGAAGAAGAAAACAGCTACCCCATACAGAGACAGAGGGAGGGGGGATTAGAACAAAGAGAAACCCCAATATAAGGTCTTTAATTAGTGAGTAGTAATTGTACCAACGATAATTTCCTGGTTTTGACTATTGCACTCTTGTTATGAAAAATGGTAATATAAGGCCGGGCGCGGTGGCTCAAGCCTGTAATCCCAGCACTGTGGGAGGCCGAGGCGGGTGGATCACGAGGTCAAGAGATCGAGACCATCCTGGTCAACA